CAGTGCAGAGCATTGGCATAAACTCCCCCCAGCCTCCCCCGCGATGACCCGTCACAGTCATTAAAGCCACCTGGACCTGCTATTGTTACAATTCACACTCAACTTCCTCAGTTCCCCGCTAGCGTCTGTCTTCTGCCCCAGCCAGGAGCTCGCGGGGGCGCCACGTCTGGTTTCACTGCCTGGTGTCTTTGGGTGCCTTTTGGCCGGGATGGTTTTTCAGATGTCCCTGTTTTCCTGACTTCGGCGGTTCTGGGGAGGACTGGCAGGTTTCTTTGTGACTGTGCTTGCCCTGGGGTCTGCCTGATGTTCCTCGGTCCCTTTACTTTTAATGTACAAGAAGCAAATGTTGCTGCTGGTCATGGCTCAGAGTCAGGCTGGCCCCAGCAGCTGCTGTTCATTCGGCCTCTCCAGAGAAGCTGACCGACCTCTGCTTCAAGCCCCAGAGGAAAAGACCGACCCCACCACAATAAAACAGCGAGGGGCGGGCGCAGACGGCTCCTGTCCATCGCCCTAAAATGTAGGAAATGTTGCTCAATCTCTCCCCTGCAGGGAGTGCAAGAAAACCCCCAGGGACCCTGTGGCACCGCCTGCAGTGGCCGCACGGGAACCCAGGGGCACACCCTGGGCAGGCTGCGGAGAGCACGGTGCCAGCGGGGCCGATCTGAGGGCCGATGACCGATGCTCATAAAGCCATGACGGTGCTTTGCCCGGCAACCCCGCTCCTGGGAGTTTACCCTGCAGATGACTGTCGACCTCTGAAATGGCATGCTACCAGGCTGCCCGTACGGCTCATTTCTAACAGCAATGCCTGGGAAATAACCTGGGTGTCAGGTAAATCACACTCCAGCCACACAACGGGGAGCCAGCAGCGGCAACACAGAACCAAGGCTTTCTCTGAGTGTCAACGAGGAAAGACCCCTGAGACACGTTCAGCAGAAAAAAAGCAAGATGCAGAGAATCTGCTACCTTTTACGTCTGAAAGTGAGGTTCCGACGCATTTATATCTGTTTGCACTTGTGAAAAAAACCGCGGGAGGATGAGTGTATTGACGGCAGTGGGGAGCTGGGTAGGTGGGGTACAGGGGAGTTCTCGGGGAGCTGGAACTGTTCTGGATGACGCTGTGACCGTGGATACCTGACTCCATTTCCCAAAAGACACTTTGCCTGAATGTATGCAAATGATATTTAAAATACTTAGGAGGACAGGGGAATCCCAGGATGAATGTGAAATGTGACAGAACGATTAACTGTATCACAGCGGTATACGACAATCTCATTGAAGTGGGAGGAAGGAAGTTACACTGAGTCTGTAAAACTGAAGGCGAAAGGAGCCCACAGACCGCTGTGCTCTGGCCGATCAAGCTGCTTTCCGGCCGGGCGCAGTGGCTCACACCTGTAATCCCTGCACTTTGGGAGGCTGAGACCACAGGAGGATCACGTGAGCCCAGGGGTTCAAAACCAACCTGAGCAACTTGATGACACCCTGTCTCTACAAAAAATAGAAAATCAGCTGGGTATGGTGGCATGTGCCTATAATCCCAGCTACTCATGAGTCTAAGCCAGGAGGATCATTTAAGCCTGGGAGGTGGAGGCTGCAGAGAGCCATGCTCACCCACTACACTCCAGCCTGGGCAACAGAGCAATATAGCCTGTCTCAAAAAAAAAATAAATAAAGTTGCCTCCCACAGGGGTGTGGGTCAGCCATTCGGATGCTTCTGTACATGTAGAGTGGAACAGAACCGTTACATCAATGAAGGGCTGATGGCGAAAGCCAGCTTTCCCAGTGTTGGAGCTGGAGGCTACAGATTGCCAGTGGGAAGGAGGCTGGAATCCACCTGCTCATAACAGATTTGAGCTGGAGACGTCAGGATGAACTCACATTTAACCTCACAGAGATACAGATGTTGCATCTAGCAGACTTTCAGACGTGCATGTAGACACGGTGAGTGCACATATAGAGGCCTTCATGCTCTGGCAGCTGAGATGGCCTTAAAGAAAAGACATCTGGCCAGGCATGGTGGCTCGCGCCTGTAATTCCAGCACTTCAGGAAGCCAAGGTGGGTGGATCATCTGAGGTCAGGAATTTGAGACCAGCCTAGCCAACATGGTGAAACCTCATCTCTACTTAAAATACAAAAAATTAGCCAGGTGTGGTGGCAAACACCTGTAATCCCAGCTACTTGGGAGGCTGAGACAGGAGAATTGCTTGAACCTGGGAGGCAGAGGTTGCAGTGAGCTAAGATAGCCCCACTGTGCTGCAGCCTGAGCGACAGAGTGAGACTGTCTCAAAAAGAAAGAAAGAAAGAAAGAGAGAGGAAGGAAGAGAAGGGAAGGGAAGGGAAGAAAGGGGTAGGGAGGGGAAGGGGAGGAGGGGGGAGGGGGGAGGGGGGAGGGGGGAGAGAAAGTAAAGACATCCGCCTGTAGTCCCAGCTTAGGAAGCTAAGGCAGGAGGCTCCCTTGAGGCCAGGAGTTTGAGGCCAAACTGGGCAATACATTGAGGCTTGATGCTAAAAAAAAAAAAAAAACAATTAAAACTAAAACTAAATAAAAACACTTAAAAATTTTTTTTAAGGAAGAAAAGATGTCCATACAGCAGTAAGCATGCCTAGCACCCAAATAGATCTGAGTTTCTAATACCTTTCCCCAGCAACAAAAGTTAGTCCTGCTTGGAGAAATGGCGGATTCTAGGACTGGGCCAGGCAACTGTCAAGCTGAGCCCGGCCTGGGGTGCCGAGAGAGTGAGTCCGTGCCTGCATGGGGGAAGGAGTGACATCTCATCTCACATGTCAAAGGGACACGGAGCTGGCTGAAAGAGTTAAAGTAATTTGAGCAAAAATAAGGTAGAATTTGATTATAACCCAAAATGTAAAACAGAGATCCACAAATCCGTCCTCAAATAAATCGACAATGGAATGAATGAGTAAATGGAAGGTGAGGGGCCAATTGTCTGGGCAGAAGAATTCCAAATAATTGCTGGAGCGGCTCCACTCTGAAGGCGGGGACCAGGACTCCTGCTCTTACGTTGCACGCAGAGACTTCCTTCCAGAGAGGACCGGAGGGAAGGGAGGAAAAGGGAACATTTACAGGGAGAAACCTGAGCAGCACCCCTCAGCCACGTGGCCAGGGTCAGGGTCAACAGTGGGGAGTCCTGCTGATAGCGTGTGGCCTTGGCACCGTGTGGTATGCATGGCATTGTGCCTTGGAGCTCTGTCCCCCAATAACCCATAATCACTCGTCTAATCATGAGAAAAACGAGACAAATCCCAACTGAGGCACACTCTACAGAATCCCGACCACTCCTCAAAACTCTCAAGGCCAGCAAAACCAGGGAAAGTCTGAAAAGCGATCACACCCCGGAGAAGCCCAGCGAGACGAGGGGACTCAGTGCAGCGTGGGGTCCTGGGGCAGACGAAGGCACTGGGTGAAGACAAACGAAATCCGAGTCACGTGTGAGCTGCACTTGGGAACGAGCCATGGGTATTGGCTCATTCGTTGTGACAAATGTACCGCATCGAGGTAGGATGCTAATAATAGAGGCAGCTGGGTGGGGTTTTATGAGAACTCTCTGAACTGTCTTCCTGACTGTTTTGTAAACCTAAAAGGATTCCAAAGAATTCGGTCTACTAAAATAAACAAAGAAACAAAAAGTCCCCGTAGGGTGGAACAAGTTTGATGTGTTTGGGGAGTGAACTTTTAAGGCCTAAAGACACTCCAGCGTCTCAGCGGGATCTCAGCCAGGCCTGGAGCTGCCTGCCTGGGTGACACCCTGGGGCCGCCTGCCATGGACCTTGGGACAGCCCAGGAGCCTCCCCGGGCCACGCCTCCCTCCACTGTACCACGGAATGAGTTAATCACAGAGATACTTGGGGCAGGGCCAGTTTCTGGGTATTGCCCCCGAAGCACCAGGAAACCGAGGCAGGCCTTTGGAAGGGCAGCCTAGCCCCAGGCGGGACCCGCCTGTGATCCCCGGCCAGTTCTGCCACCTTGAGCCCCGGGCTTCCTCTGTAAAGGAGGATGAGGATGAGGACGGGCTTCTTCCTGGTGAACAGAACTTGCCCGGGGCTGCTGCTGCCACAGAGAGCTTCGGATCATTCCACAGCCTCAGCAGGAGAGGGAGGCAAGGTCCCCAGGTGGGTGGCATGCTGAGACACTGAGGCTGACAGAGGCCCCACACTTTGCCCGGAGCCACGGAGTCTCCTCATCCCCAGGGCAGCCTCTCCTCTGCCCTCCTCGGGGTCAGGCCCCGTGCCTCTCCTCACTGCCCCGACAGCCTCTGCCTCCTTCAAAACCCACTCCCAGGTCTAGCCCTGGGAGAAGGTGGCCTCATCCCCAGTGGCAGGTGGGGACCCTGGCCCCATGAGGGGGACTGAGGATTCAGAGACGCAGGGAGCCACTGGAACCCCTCCGAGACCCCTGGCACTGGTATAGGGGGAGGCTGGGGCAGCATGAGGCACGGGGTGGGGGGAGCATGACTCTGGTCCCTCCAGGTCACCAGCACTGACTGTTACCATCAACTATGGCTGCTGGCCACGTGCAGACACTGCCCTGGGCACCAACACCCATGCCTCATCTTATAGACAGGGAAACTGAGGCTCCGAGCATGGGATCAGTCAGTGGCAAGCCGGCACCAGAACCCCCAGCACAGCCTCTTGGGCCCTCACCTTTCCACCAGGCACCCTGCCTGCCCAGTCATCAGGATCCTGGGGACGCAGCGCCCCCACCTCACCCTGCCACCCCGACAGCGTCCAGCTCCACTCCTCAGGCTCCTGGCCCATTTCTCATACATGGGAACACCAGGCTGGCCCTTCCCCTGGAACCCCATTGAGGCAGCACCCACCCTGCTGCTCCTGGCCAGGCGAGTTTTGGGTGCACCCTGCCAAGTGAACACCCCCTCCAGCCTCACCTGGGAATGAGCCAGGTGATGATGGGGCTGGGGCCTTAGCCTCGGGGAGTGGGGAAGCCTCTCCAGGCACAGACCCGGTGAAACACTCTGGAACTTACCCTGCCAGGGACGGGAGGATGGGAGGCTGGATCCTGGCTCCACCACCTGCTGCAGAGCCCTCGCAGCTCTCACGGTTCCTCAGGACAGCCGCGCGGCCCAGCACCCGGCCCGGGCAGGAAGGTGTTCAGTGAGCCTGGCCTCTGGGCTCCCATCGGATGACCTGGGCGGCAGCCCTGAGTCATTGGCTGTGTTCCTGCAGCCCGCCCATCCCACCCCGGGAAGGGCGGTCGCCTCTGACCTTCCTCCTCCTTATCAGCTGTTGGAACTGTCAGCCCCAAGCAGGGTGGGGAGGAGCTGCCGCAGGGAGCCTGCCACAGGTGCGCCCCGCCCGGCCCGGCCCGGCCCAGTCTGCCCAGGGCTTTGGGAATTTCCGACCGCCCACTTTGCCCCTGCTCAGAGCCGAGAGAGGCTGGGCCCTAGGAACCAGGCCCTGCTCCCCTGGGATGAAACCACCCAGGCCTGGTTTCTGCAGCTGGGCCTTCACAGCAGCTAGCTGGGAGTCAGGTAAACATTTGCTGAGTACCTCTTGTGTGCCGGGGCGCCCAGTGTAAGGCCAGCAAGGATGGACAGCGCCTCTCATGTGGTGTCTAGAGGGACTGGTCCCCAAACTTGCTCGAGATACAATCACCTGGGACGTCCTTAAAGGTTCAGATTCTTGACTGGAGACCCCCGTATCAGGATCTCCCGGGGAGGGCGGGGAGCCCGGAAATCTGGATTTTTTTCCCAAGTTCGCAGGCGATGTTTCTCATCAGGTGATTCTGGGAACCTCTGCTCCAAATAGCAACTCTCCCTCCAGATGCTCACCAGGGCCTTGACAGACAGGGGCTTCCCTGCCCTCCACAGGCCCCTGAGCCCCTGGGAGCTGGGCGCAGCCTCTGTGACAGGCTGTGTGACAAAGAGCAACTTTCTTAACCTCTCTGTGCCTCCCATGCCTGGTCTTTGTGCTGAAGAACGATGTGTAGTTGGCCTACCTCATCAGGCATTTATGAGGAATAAATGAGTTACTAAATGTTCAGCGCTTAAAGCAATGCCCTACACACACATACCACAAACACAGAGACACACACACAGACACAGAGACACACACACAGAGACACACACACAGAGACACACACACACAGACACAGATACACACACAGACACACAGACATAGACACACACAGACACACACAGACACAGACACACACACACACATGCACGTACACAGACATACATACACAGAAACACAGACACACACACAGACACACACAGACAGACATACACAGATACAGACATAGACACACAGACACAGACACAGACACAGACACACGCATGCAAACACACAGACATACATAGACACAGACACACAGACACAGATACACACAGACACCCACATACATGGACACACATACAGACACACACACGGACACACACAGACACACAGATGCACACACAGACATACACACAGACACACACAGACACAGACACACATGTGCACACATGCACACACATACACACATGCACACACACATACACATGTGCACGCACACATGTACATACATGCACACAAACATGTATATACAGACACACAAGTCATGCACATGCACACAGACATGTATACAGAGACACACATGTACACACATACACATACATGTATGCACACACATACACATACACACGTGTGCACATACACCACATACACATACACACAGGTGCATTCACACACATGCACACACAGACATATGTACACATACATGCACACATATATACACACATACACATACACACACCTGTGCACACACATACACACACATACGCATATATATACACACATATATACATATATGCACACAGAGAGACCCATGTACATTCATGCACACACACACACACACACACACACACACACACCCCTGGCGTGTATTTTTATCAGGGATCCTGGTGATCCTGTCCCAGTCCTGCCAAGTGACTTACACTGTCACTCAGTCGGGACAGGGGCAGTGCTGGGCTGCGGGGTCTGAGCCAGTCCTCAGGGCTGGGCGGGAGCTGTCCATGCAGTTCTTGTTATCTGTGTGAATGAATGAGTGAGGTATGAATTGTTTGGCATATTTCTTTGCTTTTAATTAGGAGAGCAGCAAATTTGCCTCTATAACGCCCTGCTCGTTGCAATCTGTAATGACAGTCACGGGTCTCTGCCCTGTCCCTCACACTAGAGGCTTCCTTCACCCCACATCCGCTGGGCGCTGCTCCAGGACCAGGGGCTTTTGACAGGCCCCACCTTGGGAGCTCACATTCCCATGAGCATCACCCTCCGTCAGTGGCCCTCGGTGTGCTGGTGTGAGATTTAAAGACTTCCCAGTGTGTTTCCAGCAATCAAGCTGGTAGACATCCTGTTGTTCTTGAAAATCTAGGAGGCCTGGCCACGTGGGGTGACATTCTCAGCCTGCCCACAGCAGGCGCTGAGGATCTGCTGCTCATGGGGTGAGCTCTCTGACCCCATAGCCACATGGAGGTCCCTGCTGACTGATGCCCTGCCAGAGCCGAGCTTTGACTGAGCCCCAGTGGCTCCGTCCTCAGGAACCTGCTCAGAGCACTGGAATTCCCAGAGGGCTCCAAGCCCCTGGCGGCCACGGGTGTGTGCCCTGGCCTCTAGACCAGGGAGGCCAGGCCCTGGGGCCGGGAGGAGGTGAGTCCCAGGCTGCTCTCTGCCATGGGTGCTCTGCAGGTCAGGAGCCTGACGAGGACTGGGGGCGTCGCTGGCTGCTTCTCTTTGTGCCTCTGACTTGGGTGTCACCGCACCCCACCCCGCAGTGAGGTCTGTGCAGCCGCCCCCATTTCCAAGTGCAGAGACGGGGTCTGAGCAGCCCAGCAGCTTGGACACGTTCTTGCTCTGGAGGCCCCAAGCTGGGTCTGCGTCCAGGCACCTCCCACGGCTAAAGTCGCCAGAGACTTGGAGCTCTTCTGCGCCAGAGGTTCTGACCTCTGCCCTCTGCAGCCCATCAGGTCATCTCCTGGGGCCGAGCTGTGTCAGGAGGCTGCATTTAAAACCCCAGCCTCAGTCTCCCTGTCTGCATCTGGGAGGGCAGGGCTGGGCACGCTCTGTGCACCTTCCAGCGAGGGCACGGGGCTGAGTTACCCAGCAGGCGCCTCCCCACCTGCCAGACTGTGAGGAGGCATCTCCCTTCTCCACCGACACCCCCACACCTCTGGCGGGCTGACGGGGTTGGGATTGTGTGAGAGCTGATGAGAGACATCTCTGCTCCCTTCTCATTGTCAAGAACTCCTGGCCGGGCGCGGTGGCTCAGGCCTGTAATCCCAGCACTTTGGGAGGCCGAGACGGGCGGATCACAAGGTCAGGAGATCGAAACCATTCTGTCTAACACAGTGAAACCTCGTCTCTACTAAAAATCCAAAAAAATTAGCCGGGCATGGTGGCACACACCTGTAGTCCCAGCGACTGGAGAGGCTGAGGCAGGAGAATCGCTTAACCTGACAGGCGGAAGTTGCAGTGAGCCAGGAGAGCTCCCTAACACAGGAGCGTCCACACTGCGGCAGCCTCCTGGCCACTTCCTTTTAATCTAACGTGATGGACTCAGAATTCGCATGCCAAGGGGGCTTCACTGATGTGGACGAGATGTGTGTGAGGCCAGGCACGGTGGCTCACGCCTGTAATTCCAGCACTTTGGGAGGCTGAGGCAGGAGGATTGCTTGAGCCCAAGAGTTTGAGACCAGCTTGAGCAATGTACTGAGACCTCATCTCTACAAAAAATTAGCCAGGCATGGTGGCACGCACCTGAGGTCCCAGCTAGCTGGGAGGCTGAGGTAGGAGGCTCGCTTGAGCCCAGAAGTTAGAGGCTGCAGTGAGCTATGAGGGAAACCCTGTCTCTAAAAACAAACAAACAAACAAAAATATGTGTGGCTCCTTGTGCCTTGGACACTGGCCCTGTGGAGCCAGAATTCACACGAGTCACCTAAGTCCTAAACATATTGTCTTATTCTCTAAGACGCTTCTAGAAATAAATAAAGCCAAGGGCACCTTCTTTCCGTCATTCTTTTTTTTTTTTTTGAGACGGAGTTTCGCTCTTGTTACCCAGGCTGGAGTGCAATGGCGCGATCTCGGCTCACCGCAACCTCCGCCTCCTGGGTTCAGGCAATTCTCCTGCCTCAGCCTCCTGAGTAGCTGGGATTACAGGCACGCACCACCATGCCCAGCTAATTTTTTGTATTTTTAGTAGAGACGGGGTTTCACCATGTTGACCAGGATGGTCTCGATCTCTTGACCTCGTGATCCACCCGCCTCGGCCTCCCAAAGTGCTGGGATTACAGGCTTGAGCCACCGCGCCCGGCATCTTTCCGTCATTCTTGATCCTAACAGTGCCGACCAGGCCACCCTGCTAGCCCAGAGGGAGACGGAGATTTGACTGGGGCCCTGGGAGGCGCGTCTCCCGCAGCCAGGAGGAGTTCACGGGGAGAGTGAGGGAGTGAAGGGGCAGGCATGACCCCCTTCGTGAAGGCTGCCCACGAGAGGCTGGAAGATCCCAGATCACGGCGGCGCTGATAGACCAAGGCCCCAGGCAGCAGAAGCTGAGCCCCACAGCGGCAGTGGGCGGGCGGTTCCTTTGTTTCTCTCTGGGATAAACAGTGCTCCCTGAGGCCAGAGCAAGACCCAGAGAGAGCAAATGCAAGGTGGGTGCTCTGGCAGGGCAGGGATGGTGGGACTCCCCCGCATCGGGGAATCTCAGCTTCACACAGGAAAGGCTGGGGAGTGGGGCGGACAATGCCGCGATCACACAGGACCTGAACTGCCCTCTTCTGACCTGGCCACGGAGCTGGACCTCACCTCTCCCCAGGACTCACCCTCCCCAAAGCCAGCTTGGACCCTGACACCAGGGGTCCGCCCAGCCCAGCAGAGAGTCAGAAGCCGCTGAGAGCGACCGGCAACCACGTGGGAGACAGTCTCAATGTATTCTCTGAGGCAGGCGAGATCGCAAAACATCGCGCTTCTAAAAACGCTCTCAAGAAAAAAGCTGAACAGAGTAACGTGGAAACATCTGTGGCCGTCATCAGAGTGACAGGTCGAAGTCACGAAATAGTCACTATCCTCTTTCTGTATTTTCCAGGCACTTGCTTTTAAAATCAGAAAAC